GCAGGATTTCTCTAAACTTTTAGATGTTGGGTGAATGGACCATTAAGTTTCTGCATGCAAGGCAGGGCTCTGCTGCTGAGCAAAATCAAAGTAATTTTTAGTCTTCATAGTTCTAAAACAACCCCTTGGTTTATGCAGTAATCTAGAGGACTGGCTTACTCTCAGAGAGTGAGCTGTTAATGGAAATACCAAGGCTGAGAAGGTAGCTGAAAGGAGCAGAGATTCTTCTTGAAGAAGCCAAAAATTGGGCAATATTGGATATTTTGAAATCCAATATTTCAAGCTTAAAAAAATTATTCCTGATGATCTGGGTGTCTGTAGCTTCATGTGAGAGGAGCTTTTCAAAGCTGAAACTTAAGAACTCTTTGCAGTCTACCATGGGACAGTTAAGGCTTTCTGAGCTTGCAGTATTATCAGTTGAAAGAGCTGGCACAAGACATTGATTTTGATGAAGTGATTTGACAAATTCACAGCTGTGAAGACCTGGAAAGGAAAGTTCTGATTTAGTTGAGATATTCTCTAAGTCTAAGTGCTCAAATGCTTGCCTATTTGTCCCTATTTGGTTTTTTGGGGTGGGGGGTGGGGACATTATTTAATTTATGAGTAAACCTGACCCATTTGTATATCTCAAGTAAAGGTGTAAACATAATTTTGATGCATTTATTAAACGTTTTTACTTTAAAGTCTATTGTTTTCCATTGTTTCCCTCCCCCTCAAATGTTCACTTTAACCACATGAAACTGTAAACCAGGGGTCAAGTAGCGGCCGCCATTTTGTTTTCCAAAATGGGGCCACGACACGTTTGCGCATGCGCCTGAGTACTGCGCATGCGTTAATGAGTTGCGACGCCATTTTGGAAAACAAAATGGCAGCCGTGACTCGCTCACGCATGCGCAGTATGCCGGATGTACTGCACATGCGCAGTACTTCCGGCGTACTGTGCATGCGCACGTGAGCGTGCATGCGCGCCACCATTTCCCCCCCCAGCCCGCGGAAGACCTGGAGGCCAGCGGACTGGTCCCCGGTAAGCAAAAGTTGCCTACCCCTGCTGTAAACGTACATATGCTGTGCATGCAATATTGTAATTGAAAGGTGTAATTTTAATTTTGCGAGTTGTTTATGGACGTTATCACACGGGGCTCAATCCAAACAGAATCCAAACGAAATGGCGAACGAATCAGGATTATTTGCTCGTGTTTCCACACGACGTTGCACAGAACCCCGACAGAACCCCGACAGAAAGTGGAAAGAACCGAGATCTTTTGAATTTCGGTTTCTTCAGGAATGGCAATTGCGCGACGGGAATCATTTCGCATTTACCATAGGTCTGATAACCAAATACGTATTGTGGCGCATTTCCCCGCTGTTGCCATGGTTCCAGCGAGCATTCCTCTCTCTGCGCATGTGCAGGAGGCTCATTTCGGCTACATTTACGAGTTTTTTTCTCTTGTGTGTGGACGTTCGATACACTTACTGTAAATGCGCAATGAAGGTAATGACGTATGCGGAAACAAGGGTTATTTCCCATTTATTTTCGGGATGCCTCATTTCCACTTTTATTTCCGCTTTCTGGCCCATGTGTGATAACGTCCTATGTCACAACTCTTGCCAGTACATCCAGTAATAATATATGGGAATTACAATTTATAAGTAACATTAGTACAATTTTTTTTCCTAAGGATTCTGTATGGTATTGTATGGGAGGAGGGCAGAGGGGGTAGCACCAGATGGCACCAGCCCTAGTGATGCCACTGGCTGGACATCCGTAGTGAAAGTATGTTATAGTTGGGATGCCATAGCCATGAAGACCCCTTCTAAACAAGGTCAGTAATGTACCTGAAGGAAAAAGGAATAAGTTTCACAATCGGGCTCGTTTTAGGAGATGTACAGTGGGACCTTTGTATCTATGAGCTTGCCGTCTGCAGATTTAAGCATCCGCAGATAGCAAGCCCCATTGTCCCCAATGGTGGTGCATACATGTTGTGCTGCCATTAGGGACAATGGGGCTTGTGGTCCCACATTTTTCCATATCCCCAGGTTGTGTGTGTCCAAAACAGACCCTGCATGAATACAAAAGTCCAACTGTACTTCAGCATGTAACGGGAATCCTAAGCCACGCTGGGATCCAAAGTTAAACATCCAAGACCTTGTGTGTAACTGAGAAGTAAACAGGTACCCAGTGCAATGCTTTTATATTTGGGATGGCATCTGGCAAACAGTGGCATGGAAACAACCTCCAATGCCCTGTTTTCCCTTGAAGATTTCAAAGTATCAGAAGATTCAGCCTTCCAAATCACAAGGACAGGAGGTGAGGGCCACAGGTAAGAGTTGTTAACCTCCAAAGGAAAGATTGAATTTGTTTTATTTTTATTTATTTCATTTCTGTGCCACCAGAAAGGGACCTGAGGCAGCTCACAAATAAAACCATTTAAAAAATTTACAGTAAAAATTTAAAGAGAGCCAGTGTGACGTAGTGGTTTGAGCATTGGAGACCAGGGTTCAAATCCCGGCTCAGCCTTGGAAACCCACTGGGTCACCTTGGGCAAGTCACACTCTCTCAGCCTCAGAAGATGGCAATGACTACCCCCCTCTGAAGAAACTTGCCAAGAAAACCCCATGAAAGGGTCGGCAGAAGTTGGATATGACTTGAAAGTACACAACAAGTTGGTCTGGTTCTGGTTCGCTCCCCTAGCCATCACTGCCTGTTTTTATGCCTGTTTAACGGCCTTTGTATGATGTGTTGGTTTTACTTTGATTGTTTTAATATTGTCTTAGTTTAATTTATTTTTAAGGGGTGAGGAGGTTGGGGGAGTAATTTGATTGATGTGTTTTACTTTGTATTGTTTTAACTTGTTGTACGCCACCCCGGTTGCTTAGCAGAGGGGCGGGTTAAAAATTATTATTATTATTATTATTATTATTATTATTATTATTATTATTAATATTATTAACAACAACAACAACAACAACAACAATTTTTTAAAGACAATTAAAGTCAACCTGCTAAAAACAATATAAAATTTATAACCATACAAAAATTAAAAACCTAACTAAACACACACACTCCGAATAAAAGGCATGTATGGACTGTTTGCCATGTTGCCAAGGGTAAATGGCTATGCCGGCTTAGAGATTCTGGGAGAAAATATGATTAAAAGTGCTTTGTTCATCAAAAGTCATTTCCCCAAAATCCGTTGAAACAAAAAGTGTGGTCTCATATCTTCTGCTGGAAGGACAACAAGGAAGGAGCCAGTTTCGATTCTCTGGGATATTCCAGAGCCTTTGGAGCAGCCACCAAGAAGACCCTTCCTCATGTCCCTACCTGAAGGGTTGTGGGACCAAGAGAAGGGCTTTCCCTGAAAATCTCTAGATACAGAGAGGTATGGTCTTTCAGATCACCTGGACACAAGGCTGGCTTTTGGGAGCTGAAGTCCAGATGATAAAAAGGCTGACACTATAAGTACTATAGTTCCCAAGGCACCCTGAGAGCAATGACTGAGGGTTAAATCAGGGTACCTTGGGAACTATAACACATATAGTATCAAAACGTACACAACCCACACTCACATCCTGGAGGTCTTCAGTATTGTTGTTGTGTCATGTGTGGTCAAGTCGTTTCCAACTTATGGCAACCCTAGGGAGAACCTGTTGCAAAGTTTTCTTGGCACATTTCTTCGCAGGGGTTTTGCCATTGCCATTCTCTGAGGCTGAGAGAGTGACTTGCTTGAGGTCACCCATTAGATTCACATGGCCAAGCCAGGATTTGAACCTAAGTCTCCAGAGTTGTATTCCAATGCTCAGACCGCTACACCATGCTGGCTCTCCCTTCAGTATTGTTATTGTTGTCTTCCTTCAATCTGTTTCTGACTTATGGCAGCACTATCATGGGGTTTTCTTGGCAAGTTACTTCAGACTGGGTTTGCCATTGCCATCTTCTGAGGCTGAGAGATTGTGACTTGCCCATGGTCACCCAGTGGGTTTACACGGATGAACTGGATATGAACCATGGCCTCCAGAGTCACAGTCTAACTCTCAAACCACTAGGCAGTTCAACTTTTGTCAGAAAACAGTTTGGTGAACAGAGGCTGCATTTCAAGAACAATTGGGGAGTAGTGATGGATGCAAGGGAAAAGGTGGAGAAAAGCAAGAAAGATGGGGCAGTTAGCTGCAGCTTTTCCCAGGTGGGTGCTTTCTAGGGGAATTTTACTACAATTCCCATCACTTCCACCTAGAGATTGCTAGATGCCACTGGTTCAATATATGGCTATAT